TCGGATAAGGATCACCCTTGGAGAGGTCCCAGAAACCCTGTGCAAAAAACAAAAAACAAAAAGGCAACATTACACTCGTATTTTGCTGGTGGCTGTTTGTACTTCTTTCTTTAACCTATGTAATTTAATAACGCACCACCTATGTAAAGGCGCATCGAATATACTATACCGGTCTCACATTTGTTTTATAACAATCAGCACTCAGTCGGTAACATTGGCAATATCAGACCGGTGGCATTACCTTCCCAGACATTAAACTGATATCCATTTTAGGCTAGGTTGACATAAGAGCCAAGATCAGTTCTAAAAAAAAAAAAAAACTGCTTAAATATGGATTCAAACCCAAGATGTTCGGACCGATGAGCGAGAGTGTAGCCACTACACTGGGGGAGGGGGTGGGGGTGGGGGGTTGCGCTTCATTTACAAACACATTATAGTTGGCGTATTGTCGTGAGCAGGTCTGCGTGTAGATCTCTGATCACTGATAACCTTGCCTAAGTGGTCGGTCTCTCATCTCCTAAACGATATTTAATAGGGACATCAATTGAAGGCCAATGCAATGTTATCATCATCACGTATCAAAACGTTTATGTTCCACACAGTTGGAAACAATCATGATCTTGCATCAGTTCTTCGTCCATCGGGAAATGCTAACTCCAGTGTTAGTTGTATGGTTTCCTAAGTGTTAGTTGTATGGCTTCCTAAGTGTTAGTTGTATGGCTTCATAAGTGATAGTTGTACGGCTTCCTAAGTGGTTGTTGTATGGCTTCCTAAATGGTAGTTGTACGGCTTCCTAATTGTTAGTTGTATGGCTTCCTAAGTGTTAGCTGTATGGCTTCCTAAGTGTTAGTTGTATGGCTCCCTAAGTGTTAGTTGCATGGTTTTTAAGTGGTAGTTGTATGGCTTCCTAAGTGTTAGTTACATGGTTTTTAAGTGGTAGTTGTATTGCTTCCTTAGTGGTAGATGTATGCCGTCCTAAGTGGTAGTTGTATGGCTTCCTGAATGGTAGCTGAACGGCATCCTAAGTGTTATTTGTATAACTTCCTAAGTAGTAGTTGTATGGCTTCCTAAGTGTTAGTTGTATGGCTTCATAACTGGTTGTTGTATGGCTTCCTAAGTGATAGCTGTATGGCTTCCTAAGTGATAGTTGTATGGCTTCCTAAGTCGTTGTTGTATGGCTTCCGACCATCGCTATGTTTCTTAACCCCTATAGCGTCTCCTACGAGCCTTTTTGAGTATCGAAGATTCTGTTTTAATTATCTTTTACTTCTTCCGCTTTCAGTGTTAAATACAGAGTTTAGTACACTGCATTATGGTTTTCAGCTAGGCACTGCCTATCAACCCAATACGATCTAACCCTCTGTTAGTCGCCTTTTACGACATCCATTTTGTAGACAAGTGTGTCTACAGTGTAACATCTCTCTCTCTCTTGCTGCACCGCAATAGGACCCCAAAACTCACACGAAGATGTCAAACTATATTTTTTTGTTTGTTTTATGACGTTTGTTATTGCGTAAAAATTCATAATAGACATATATGGCAAGTGTTGATACCAAACATCAGCACTTCTATATACAGGGACTCGCTCTGACATTCTGTCCAGACATGCAGAATACGAGGCTATGAATGAGCGGATTATTTGGCTACAAAAGCGATATCAACAGGAACACCAATAGTGGATAAGGCATGTATTCTCAAGACAGCATATTAACGAATGAGGACGGAAGATACAATGTTAGATAACACAATATATGTAAATGTATGGGGATTTAGAGTTAAGTGTGGATCCGGCCCAAAATAAACATATTAGAGGAAAATTACGACGTGTATACACGTAATGTTAATGCAGACATCAATGTCTACGTTTTAGGATATCTGCTGAAGACGATTCTTATATACGCATGCCCGAAGTGCGATAATGGCGATAAATCAGTATCTGTGAGCGTCATCACTTAATAATGTTGCATTTTATGTGGCAACAGTTTTTCGTTGTGTTTACATTATTCATAATATTTTCCGAAGATGTGTCGGTTTCTTTGCCTTTGCTTCAAAATATATCAGTATTCTTACATTTATAACATGACAGGTTATAGGCGATGTTTCAGTAACAAGATTGTTTATCTGCCATGACATGTTTCCTTCTCATAAGCTTTTTCTTGTAACAGCAATCTTAAGACATAATAATTCTGCCTTCCGTTCTCTGTTACACGAAAACACAGTCACACACACACACACACACACACGCACACACACACACATACATATATATGTATATGTATATATATATATATATATATATATATATATATATATATATATACACGCGCGCGCGTACATACATACACACTTATATATATAAGTATATGTATATATATATATATACATGCTTGTGTGTGTGTGTGTGTGTGTGTGTGTGTGTGTGTGTGTGTGTGTGTGGTTGGAATGGGGTCTTCGAAACAAAATGTCTGTTTTCTCCAAGGTCTGAAAGTTGTCTGAAAGCAATGTTGTCCTTTCCTCTATACAAACCTTTTCACATAAAGAACTTGTGTCGGAATTGAGACACGGTGTGGGCTTGGGCGTTGCGAACGTGCTTCTTAATTCCAACAGACCTCGTAGCATTCTAGCTAAGGGTAATTTGGCAGCATAATGTTTTGCGTTGATTTCGACAGTGATATCGAGCGCTAATCGTTCAGCGGCAATGGCAAACTACTAACCGTAAAATTACCTAGTGAAACCAAACCAAAGAAAAAAATGCCTTGTGTTGGTTCCTGTGAGTAGGGTGGCTATAAAATCTTGTGCTGAAAACGGGACATCGCACTAATATTTTCAGCTGGCAACAAGTATACCACAACTATTCTGAGCTGAAAACTGAACATCCCAGTAATATTTTGAGCTGAATGGAGAAATGATATTTTTTTTAACGTTGCCCCTCCTCCCTTTCTTCGCAAAGTCACCGGGATTAACAGGTTAATTATCTGCCCAACATCGGTTTTAAACACTGAAACATATCTATATATATGCAAATAAGTAAACGAAAGATACGCTCTCTAACCGCACTGGGGGTGGGGGTGGGCAGGGGTAGGGGAGACAGGCTACAATGAAAATTATCATCAACATGTTTCAGGTTTTACAAGTATATAAAACTATGACACATAATAAGGTTTACTGATATAACCATAAGTGTGTGGTCTATCCTCGAGCGTATTAATCGATTGTTGTAAAAATGGGACAACTGGAAGTACCGACAGTATGACCAGGCAACGCCTAACAAAATTAGAATGTCCTGGTGAAAACGGGACGTATGGTCACTACTTGTAAGGGTTGCGCAAGTAACTTTTGTTGCCATAGAAATCACCATACATAAATTTATGTATGAGGAATTGTAGTAATATTCTCTTCATTTTCATGTCTACCATCGTAATGTTCTAAATGGTTTACGCATAAATTTTATATTATGCATGTTAGCGGGATATCTTAGAATGTTTTTACTACGATCATCGACTTTGTTTCTTTGATGATGTTTGATATTTTTAAGTATTGTCTCCAGCTCCAATCTGAAGATTACACGTATTTTTTTCTAACTGTTTTAATCATCGCGTATCTATCAGTTTCTTTTTTTCTGGAAAACAATATCAGCAATATGCTTAAGAACATATCACGTCAGTGCTATGTTCTCATGAGTATATGAGTCTAGCAAAATATCTATAATGTGTCGCCATAAAAATGAAACACAAATGATAGGAGATTGCAACAATTAGGTATAAATATGTATGGAGTGATGGAAAAGATACTGCGAATAAAGAAATTCAGATTCAGTGTTTTATGTTCAAGAATATGTGAGTCAAGCAACATATCTCTATGTCGACATAAAAATGAAACATAAGTGATGGGAGATAGCAGCAATTAGGTATAAATATGCATGGAGGATGGACACAGATACTGTGAATAAAGCAAGCAAATAATAATCCAACATCCCTGTGCGAAAGATAATTCCTTTCCCCCAACATGGAGCTCAGAGACTTTGCTCTCCCCGCGAACTGCGGCATAGGGACAACGGTAAGATAATTCCTTTCCTCCAACATGGAGCTCAGAGACTTTGCTCTCCGCGCGAACTGCGGCATAGGGACAACGGTAAGATAATTCCTTTCCTCCAACATGGAGCTCAGAGACTTTGCTCTCCCCGCGAACTACGGCATCAGGACAACGGTAATATAATTCCTTTCCTCCAACATGGAGCTCAGAGACTTTGCTCTCCCGCGAACTGCGGCATAGGGGCATATAAATACAAGCCTCTGCTCGTCCTACCTTTCTTGTAACTGTTTTCTGTCCAATTCTTTTGACCGGCAAGTGACGTCGAGTCCTCGTCATATCTCATGTTCATTAGCGGTCGTCAGTAGTGTGAATCTCTGGATTGCACACAACACCTGTTATCTTGCGGGGTTAGGGGGTGCATGATATTCACCTTGTTTGGGCAATATTAGTGATCAAGGCAATGAGTGTGCAGATTATCTGACGGACAAGGTGGTTACCACGATTGGCCCGGCAATGGGCAGAAATGATGTCACACTGATTCCATGCGATATTCATGTCGCGGAGATCAAAACAACGAGCAGGACCTAGTATCCTTGTCCGGGTTGGTAGACGTTGGGGTGTAGTCTGGGATAGCCAGACGTGAAACATTTCATTAAACGCACATGAGTCGTTTTTCTTCTGTGTAGCTACTGATGAGGCAGTCGGAACGCCTATGGATCTGTCTGGAGTGTTGTGATGTTGATCCTCACCAATCGCTAATCACTTGTATGTGTTCATTCGTTATTAATTTTCGCGAACAATGTTTTCCTCCAGGACAGTTGGAATAACACCTCAGTGGTTACGAATGAACATGCAATCCAGTCTGCGGTCAGGGTCTGATGTGCTACCATTCACCCGTCGAAGAGACAATATATACTTTGCTTGTTAATTGTCAGCTAATACAATCTTGATCTGTGTTTGTATTGCAGAGCCTGTTTGTTTCCATCTACTTGGGTCTTGCCTGCAACATTGCCAGTATAGCGCTTCTTCTGCCTGCCACAGGGATATTCATTACATATAGGTTTGTTGTTTTATCTTATGCATGCTATTGGGATATCTTAAAATGTTTTTTTTTTTCGATCATCGACTATATTTCCTGCACCATGTCTAGGCACGGTCACAGTTCTGAGCTGTAGCAAATTTTTTGCTTCTGCGAGATGGTGGCCGTTGTATTTTTGCATCATTTGTAGAATGAAAGGATATAATTTAGTTGCCCAGCTTCTGATTGAGTGTATTGCGTGACACTGTGAGCTACGGATTTCATTTTAATAGTTTTTCGACTGTGACCAACGTGGTGGTGAGAATTGTAGATTCAGAAAATGTCGCGATGCCGGTTGTCGCTATATTGGTGGTGCCATTATGTGATTAAAATTGACCAAATGGGCAACTGCTGATCTGTTGGTGACTTCTGCTACCATCTTTGATGAACTGCATTTTTAACGTCGGACTGTTTGTGTTAGAACTTCGGATGGCTACCGTATGCCTTTAATGGGTATGTATGCTAAAGCATAAGCTGAGACAGCAGTCTGTCAATCTTTGCAGAAGGGACTGTGATAAACATTCTGTGTGGTTTTTTTTGGCACAGGAGTTGGCACTATGGGGTGACCCGTTTGCTATGAATCTGAAACTAAGTTTACCAGATTACTAGATGTTTTTATGATTGCGTTTCTGTCTGTTTGTCCGTCTGCCCCTCCGTCCGTCTTTCTTTCTGTCTGTTGGTTTGTCTTTTATCCATTTAACCAGTGTATGTATATATATCCGCCCACCCGTCGTTCTGTCTGTCTTTTAAATATCTCTTTAACCAGTTTATGTGTGTCTGTCCCCCCGTCCACCTGTCCGTCTGTATGCCTGTCCGCCAGTCTGTTTGTATATATAATAATTTGCTTCAATTTGTTAAACAAGTATGTGGGTCTTTTAGAAACACACCCACCCTCTGTACTGGTTCATCTGTCAGTCATGCTCCTCATCTGCCTATCATTTTGTCACTTTATCTCTTATTTAGTCAAAGGTTTTCGCCTCTTTTTCTGTTGCTTTATGAACCTATTCGAATGTCTTCCTATTTCAGGTTTACCTCTCCTTCTACAAGATTTCTAAGGCTGTTATATTCATAAGTCGCCTTTTTTCTTACTCCATTATACTGGATGTTGTCCTGTTTGCTTTTAATGCACACAGCATGTTTGCTAATGGGCGTGTCTGTCTGATTTCCGACGAGCAGCAGATAGCGTGCTTCAATATAAAAGACAGATAGCCCAGTTGAAGACCGCATTATCCAGTCACACGATCCTACCAGTCCATCTGGAAACTCTCATTCTTCAGACATCTGCCGACCTACATGCAAATGTTGCATGTTTTCTTTTATCCTGACGCCCCTTGATGAAACACAAGGGAGGTAATCGGTGCAGGTTAGACTAAGACAACAGAAGAATGTCTGTTTTACGGCGTTTTCCAGTTGAGTCAACTCACGCAACAAGATTACATGCAAATGTAAATGTATACTGTCTTGTTAAAGGCTAAAACTGCATGTCGGACGTTTTACAACGGTTCTTAAATATTGTCGATCCGCAACCAATTTGTTTATATACATAACTAAGAAACGTGTAAAGTAAATAGGAATCCTTCTTGGCGTCGTATCTACCTAGCATCTTGTCATCACTTCGTGGGATGCAATTTTTCGTTATTTGAAGCCCTACTCTGGCTCTTGCCAGGGGCCTCAATATTGCCCGGCCATAAATATGGCCTAATGGCTGAACTCGGTTTCTGGGACCTGTCCACGGGTGATCCTCATCCACATGTTGGCACTTTGTATCATCAGGTGTTTATTATTTGTGTGATGACCTGGTAGGGTAAAAGAAGATAAATAGAGAGATCATATCTACATCACAACAAACCTACGTCCCAATGTATCTGAATCATCCCGTTGTGGGATGCAATTTGTCGTTATTTGAAGCCCCACCCTGGCTTTTGCCGGGGGCCCTGAATATAGCTGGGCCACAATTGTGGCTATAACGGCTGAAAGGGGTTTCTGTCACCTCTCCACGGACGATCCTTATCCGCATGGTGGCACTATGTGTCACCAAATGTTTATCGCTTGTATGATGATGTCCTAGTGGGGTACAACAAACAAGTACATCCCAATCGCAAAAGCATTTTGCTTTTTGAATCTCCAGCCTTGCTGTTTTCGGGGGCCCTAATATAACGCAACTTATGGGTTAAACGAGGTTCCTGGGACTTGTGCCCCGGTCATCATCATTCAAATGCTGACACTTTGTGTCACCGGGTGTTGGCCGCTCGGTGTGATGGTTTGGTGGGGCTGAAAGTCAATCAGCCAAACATAGATACCTCCATTTCAAAACATAATCAAGCTTATATATATAATTTCTGCTCTTGTACAAGGGTCGGCAATGTAGTCTCGTACCGAAATAACGCGGCGTCCGTGGCTAAGGCGTTGCGAGTCCGACTCGTAATCCAACGTACCGCGATCGAAACCCACTGCTGGCTGCGTGGATTTTTATCGTGGTATGGGGCGTCACAGGTCGACCAAGTTTCAAATGGGTATCAGGATGGCTGTCCTGAGGAAGTAAGGACGGCTGGCGTAATGCTGACCACATTACACACCGAGTGCCAGTTGGTCTGTGAAAATATGGGTGCTCTTCCCATGTGCTCGATGCGTCCAAAGGCGTGAAAGTGGATCTTTACTTTTGTTTAAAAACCGAAATAATGTTTCAGTGTTGCTCATTGTGCGAATCTGTCATCGTCACCGTTACCGTTATCGTTGTCTTTGTCATTTTCTTTATCCTGTTTTGCTATTATACGTCAGTTAGGTCTGGCAATCTAATCCTCCATTCCGTTTTGTACTGTAAATTCCTTTTGAAATCCATTTCAAACCCAGTCCAGCACTTGTTCCCCTGTCTCATCGGCCTTCATTTTAGTGTTTTTCTTCGACTTCCCTGTTTCCTTTATTAATCGCTGTCCTAGCCCCGCGCCTGTTTAGTGATTCTCTGTCAACTTTTCCTTGGATGAGCTCACGCTGTCGCCATGTTTTGTGTGTTAAAAGCTGTTAAGAAATGCATCTATTCAGCCTTTTCTCTGATTTCTTCTCTTTTTTTTTTTTTTCCCTCCTGAATTTGTCGCATCTAATGTTCACCGATTTTCGCAGGCATTTCCTCTCTTAAATGGCATCCTTTTCAACAAGCTTCTGTAAACAGTCCCCACCCCCCCCCCCTTTTCCTCTTGTTTGGAAAGCTTGCCACAATCCCAACCCTCCTCCTTTTTTTCTCATATATGTTGGGACTGACAACGGCGGAGATGAGCCAAACATGGTCACCCATATTTTCGAGTAGACTAAGATGAAAGGATAATATTTTTTTTAAAGAAATTGAATGTTTGCATTTCTTTTATGTTTTGTTTGTTTGTTTATTTGTCTGCCTGTAGTAACTCTCCATCTTTCAAGACGAAAGTATTGTTTATTTATCGGATCAATATCATGGCACACGGGTGTAACCCATAAAGGCTCTGTTCTTCTTCTAACTCAAGCATGAGTCCTTTTCCTCTTGTTTGGAAAGCTTGCCACAATCCCAACCCTCCTCCTTTTTTTCTCATATATGTTGGGACTGACAACGGCGGAGATGAGCCAAACATGGTCACCCATATTTTCGAGTAGACTAAGATGAAAGGATAATATTTTTTTTAAAGAAATTGAATGTTTGCATTTCTTTTATGTTTTGTTTGTTTGTTTATTTGTCTGCCTGTAGTAACTCTCCATCTTTCAAGACGAAAGTATTGTTTATTTATCGGATCAATATCATGGCACACGGGTGTAACCCATAAAGGCTCTGTTCTTCTTCTAACTCAAGCATGAGTCTGAAGAATCTCAGCGCAGTACACGAACTCTGTTGCACCGGCGAGGACCCTGAAATACTTTGGGTAGATTATAAACTCCAAATTTTGCACTGGTGGAACCGCTAGGCTACTCTTTTTCGACTTCCAGCTGCCGAGGTATTTTTTACTTGCGCAACAATATACACACGGGCGTCCGGTCTTACAAGCCAGAGACCGGGGGAAATTACTGGAAGCCCACGGAAAAAAATCCTAGCCCTTACCGGGGCTTGAACCTGCACCTATAGCACGAGGCGGACACCATGCTTCGAGATCACGCAGCTCCCTAGTATTTCACTTAATGTCAGTGACAATCATTTCACACGCCACGGTTGCCACGCTTACCGTAGGTGTGTTGGTGCTTGCCATAGAATATGATAGAATCACTGCAGTTAACTAATTTTTAACAAAGTGTCGGATAAAACAAAGATGACGAGAAACTAGATAAAAGATAAACATTCCATTGAGGGATAATAATTACAAACTGTTTTTTTTTTTTTTTTAATAATCTGTATTTGCCCGACAGCCTGTCGAATTCTCTAGCCCTGCTATTTTACTATCAACATAATTTTTTAAAGGTAATTAAAGGCAGGAGGATCGATTTAATTACATTGAGTTTCACCTCGTCTGATTCAATTTCTCTCCACGTTAAGGCTGGCTGCATATCGAGGACATCTCACAACGCATGAACTGTGTAGCTCCAGTCACAGTCCCCCAGGGATATTCAAAAGAACATACAGCACTCTTGAAGTAAACACGCACAGATAAAATGAACCGGTGTCTTGAAAACAACTTTAATCAATGATATACCGGACCAGGTTGTCACAACGATGATTCTGTTTTTAACTTTCATTAGAAACATTACACCGGGCGCTTGAGTACGAACAAAGAAGAAGATAAGAAAAATGATTAAATATAGATGAGCCAATAACGTATCGAATTAGTTAATTTAAATAATGTGATAGCAGATTTATTATTTATATGTAACTGTTACATCCTTTGCGCAAATAATTTGATACGTACGATAGTTTGAATATACATACAATGAACTTCTCTAAACTGTCAGTAACACTTATATTTTATTATTGTTTTTTTTTATTTGTTGGTATTTTTATAGTTGCCTGTTTAGTTTTGATTGCACGGTTACTGCGTATAATTATTACTTTTATGTAGTTAATTAAAACATTACTATTTCTTTCGCTCCAAAGGTAAATTAAAAACCGAATGTAAAGGACCCTTTTGTGCTAGTAGAGTACTGGGCATATAATGCTAGCGTTATATTTGTATTGTGCCAGTAGCGTACTGGGCATATGATGCTAGCGTTATATTTGTATTGACCAGTCGGAACAGTGGATATTTAAATTCACACAGGCTATTCTCACTTTCAAGGTCATTATCTGTACCCGTTTTAGAATGAGTCGGCCTGGAAGACAAAATCTTTACTTTGTACTTTCCTAATTCGACGTTTACACTGAAAGTAAAGTCAAGTCAAGGACCATTTCTCTCACTTTCAGACGTATTAGACACACAGGGCTAGACGTATACTATATAGACCAATCGGCACTCGGTGGTTAATTATGGTTAACATTACACCGGCCGCCTTTACTTCCCATGACTGTACCTGATATCCATTTAAGGCTTGGTCGACCTGGGAGCCAAAGTCATTTGTCCAAACTGTACTAATACAAATATTTGTATAAAAGAGTTCTTTGACCCTGTGATAAAAACAGGAGCACTGGAAAACATCGCGATGACTAGAAAGATCACTTGCAGCAGAGACAGGCAGAGGAGGACTCAGAGAAATAATTGTCTGTGGCTTAAAGCAGTGGTATGGAGGAATATCATCAGTGGAATTGATCCAGAACACTACAGACCGAGATTTGTGGAGATGCACGAATGCTTACGCCAGCTAGCTATGCACTTGATGTTGATGATGATGATATGCCAGAGAACTGTTTTCTAGGAGATAGATTTAACATGTGGTGGGTTGTCTGCGGTCTCTGGTGCAGACATCAGGAATATTCCTGGCATGTAGCAAAAAACGAAGTCTATTAATTAAATACTGTCTCCCCCGTGTGGGTTCCGGGGCCCCATTGTGGGGAAAACAAGAATAGACCCACTGCCTCCCCAAAAGCATGTCGCAAGAGTCGACTAATTGGGGAGCTTCCTTTGAAGTCGGAGTGCATCTGCCGGAGAGGCAAGGAACCAACAGTCTGTATTCAAGAGAATGAGATCTGTAAAACTGATGCACACGCAACACTCAGGTTCTGGAGCAGGACTGCAGTTCAGTAGTGGACGAGCAACCAGAACTTTCCACCAGAGTTTACAGCTGGTGAACGAGAAGAAGAAGAAGAAGAAGAATACTGTCTCAAGCTTATTTGTTGGACTTATCAATACACTGTTTGCCCTACTCATTGATTCACTTGGTCGCTAGATTCCCTGACTCATTATTGCCCACAATGGCCGCAAACCACTGTACAGTACAGTCGAAAGATTATCCTGTAAATGATGCTATTTAAATCATATTTTGTTTAGTAAGCAATGAAACATTATCATGTTTAGTAAGCAAGTGAACTAACTACTACAATGAACGCACACACACACGCACACATACCCCCCCCCCCTCAAACACACACACACGTACATCTGAAGCGCTCGTAAAGCATACAGGGCGGACAGCTCCTACGCCCAGTTAGTCAAGATTGAATTACGAAGATTGCTTGAACAACATTTTGATGAGTTGACGTTCTTTGTCAGCTTGTCTATATTTTACGGATTGTCTATGTAAAGTTTCTGCTTAGACTCACCCACACTGGACTACAGGTTGTGTCGTAACCGTTTTATCTTGCCCTAGTACAAATGAGCTGTATGGTTATAGGGAGGCACCGTTGTGTCGCAGCTATACGCTCGCCTGCGTATCAGAAGGTTGTGGGTTCAGGCTGTGACATAGCCGGACTATTTTCAAAAATCACCTTGACTTCCAGGTTGACTCAGCCTCAAATGGATACTAGGTATAGTCCTAGGAAGTAAAGGCGGCCGGGGTGGTGTTGATCTCATTACACAGAGAGTGACGTATGGTCTATAAAATATACGTCTAGCTCAATCTGCCCAATACGCCTGAAACGAGTGGAAAGGGATCCTTAACATTGTAACTTTTATGGCTATACTGTGAAATAGAATTTCTGAGATATGTACCTATTTTAGATGTTAGAATCTGCAGACTGTGATCTTTGACAAAAGGGGGTGAGGATGTTTGAGGATTTGGGGGTGGGGGGGGGGGGGGGATATGCAAATTTTTCTGAAAGTCCTTTAGAACGTTATGAAAAAAAAAACGTGTTTGTTTACTTTTTCTTCTCCTTTTTATTCACAAGTTTTTCTTCTGAATGTACTCTACACAGGTCATTAAGAAAACAGCATCGTATACGACTGCACATCAATCTGTTCGTGGCCCTAATGTTCTCCAACATTCTAACGGTCATGTGGGAAATGCTAGTGGCACACGAAAAACTCACTGGCTCCAGCACCTCGTTTATTTTCCAGAACGCGGTACGTAGAACAGTTTTTCTTGTAGTTGTCTCCTCCCTTTGGATCGTAAGTACAACTCATTGCTGCATTGAGGCACAAGCTAATTATGCTGCAGTTTAGGGTCTTATTATTTGCAAGGACCTCATTAAATTCCTTTCTTGTAATGCAGCATATCTTTGACAATATAATTAGTGATTTTGTGTTGAGAAATCAAGAAGAACACAAAAACTGTTTTCAGCCGTAACTTATATGCTTTCAAATGATTATGTAATATAAACCTTTTTTTAATGATTGTGCTAGATCTTTCTTATTTCCTTTAATGAATATTAAATGACAATAATTTTGTATTATCAGAACATGTAAATGACGTTTATATTATATTGTTTATGAGAATAGCTGGCGATTTTTAAAACGATTGGGATCTCGTGGCTTTATGTAGCTTAAGGCCTCATAAAGTCCCAATTCTGCCCTGATACAGCTCACAGAATGCCTAGTGGTATATGGAAATCTGTGGTCCGTATACGTCATATATTCTTCTGTAGGTGAAAGCCAGTTCTTTACGCTCACTCACTTGAAAACATCAGTCTAAACTACAAGCCTAACTAGTCAGTTTCATAGTAAAACGCTGTCATGAATTACTCCTGGGTAAGTATTGATAAGAACAACCGGTAGGCACAGTACTGATAAATTATCTCATAGGACATCAAAGAATCAAATGATTTGGTCATCTGGTCAGTAGAGAACAAAATCAGCCAGCAGCTAGAGCGCGCTACATGAGAATAGCACTCTACATGTCAGGAGTTCGAGCAAGAAAGATTTGAGTTGATAGAGTAAAAAAGAAACTAAAGAAACGCAATATGAAATTAACAAAAGCTACGCAACTAGAAAAAAAAAAAAAAAAGGAGGGGAAACCTCATCTAACTCCTCTCTGCAAGGCTTTACATCATCAGCAGTAGGCCACAAGAAGAGGAAAAAGTAAATGTAATGTTGTATACTCAACATGTCTTTGCCTTGGTGAAACTTGGTCGATTTACTCTTACCAGAAATAGCCAAATAACGTTCACTTACGAGTCCTAAAAAAAGGAATACTTTATATTGTACTTTATATCGTGTCCGAATTGTCTGCCAGTGATCCTCTGCCACCTGCTAATAAAAGTCCAACATGTGTCCGGTAAACCAATCGTAAGCTTGTCGCTCGGTCGTCCAGGTATGCTGACTGCTTTAATTAGGCTGCCGCGACGACTTCTTATCTCACAGTACCTTCTGCAACCACCAAGTCGTCTTGTCCCTATCCGAAAGAAAACACCATCCGGTAATCTCGTGCAGCAGGGTACCAGCTCTGAGCTTCATAAACTCATGTGGGCCCACCTCCGAAAGCGTCTAGGAATCGTGGGCCGAAACGCTTGTCGACAAGGATAATTTCTACTGATGACTGGTAGATCCCTGCTGTACTTGCTCCCTGTGAGTTTATTCCTATTGGGTGGCAACACAAGATCATGAATACCCGAGATATTGACCAGAACTGGTTATCAGAGGCCCCGGTATACGAGGGAGGGGGCTGTAGTGGGATGTGTAGTGGGAGGGGGATGGAGGTGTTAGGCACCTATAGCCCATACTCCACCATCTCCCTACATAAATAAATGTAAGATACATACAGGTGCTACTTCTCTTTAATTGGATGTTGTTACTATGACTTTCTCCCAAAGTTGTTTACATCCCAGTTATTCGGGTGTTGCATTCAGATTGCTAACACTGGTCATGTCGGATCAAGAAGAGGTATGACATCAACACTACCTCAGTGAACATGATACCGTTGGGCAAGGACGTCGTACCAACAAAAGATGACAGAACTGCTACAGATAACACAACCCCTGCTAGTCCAATTGTAGCCGTTACTCTTCTCTTTTACAGATGAGATAAAATCGATATATATAGGGATAAATGATAAATGAATAACGTCTCTCTCTCTCTCTCTCTCTCTCTCTCTCTCTCTCTCTCTCTCTCTCTCTCTCTCTCTCTCTCTCTCTCTCTCTCTCTCTCCCTATCTCTCTCTAGCATCTGACAAAAAAATTAAATCGCTTAACATACACAACTAGCAAGCATTAAGGAGCCAAAGATAGCAGTTGACAAATGTACTGACTGTTGTTGAACTGTTCTACATTAGACCGGCTTTTATAATAAAACCAGTGGAGCATAGGCCCTCAACCAACTCACTCCTAATCTTTCTATCCTTCGCTATTGCATGCAAATCTTCCCTTGTCCTCCTTGTCTTTTTAACTTCACTCTCTGGATCCCTTTAACGTCTATTGTTAGTCTTCCTTTATTTATACACCCCTCTGGGTTTCAGTGCAAAGACATTCTAGTTATATTGATATCAGTTTTTTTGAACGTGTGTCCTATCCAACGTCAGCGACTTTTCTTCACCTCTTGGTCTACTAGAAGTTGTTTAGTTCTGTCACAAAGCTCAACCTTAGTGATTCTGTCATACCATTTTATTCTCTCCATTCTGTGCAGGCAACAGTTAATAAATGTTTGTAATTTGTATCTTGTCGGCTCTGTGGCTAAGTCGATGCGAACGCGTCGTAATGCCGGGGTATCGGGTTTGATCCCAGCTGTGGGCCATGCGCATTGCGTTGGTTTGGACAGGGGTATTAGGGGGCTGACTGTCCAGAAAGCAATGGCAAACTACTGGACGTAAGTTTGCCTAGAGAAACCACACAACAGCCAGGGGCTGTTAGGGTTGGTTCTGCAACATCCTGTAAAGGATACGCAACTAACCTCAGTTTGTGTCTTACTAATGGATATTACGTGTGCTAATACAGGTTTAGTATTTTTATAGACTTTACTGCACAAATTAATGTATGACTATTGTTCAGCATTTTCTCAGATATCTGGGGGCTGCTTGGTCTCGAGGCACGGTGTCCACCTCGAGTCACAGAGGTTCCGGATTCATTCCTCAGTAACCTGGAATGTTTTTACATGTACTTAGATTTTTAAGTACCCTGGTCTCTGGGTAGTGAGATCGGACGCCCGTGTGCATTGTTGCGCACGTAATAATCCCTTGGCAGTTGGTAATCGAAAATAGTAGCCTAACGGCGCTGCCCCGGGCAAAATTTGGAGTTAAAAATCTACCCAAAGTATTTCAGGATTCTCGCCGGTGCTACAGAGCTTGTGCACTGTGCTGACCCTCGTTCGGACTCACTCTTGAGTTATAAGAAGAACTGAGCACTTCTGGGTTTCTACCCGTGTGCCATGATGTTAATCCGTTGTTCAAACCTCAAACCTCAAACCTCAGATATCTCCTAACATATCTGCTTTCCCTTTCTTCTATGACTGCAGATCAGTATCAGTGAATTTACAGTAGTGCTTATTCCTAAAGTAGAGTTTCTTGAAACTGGACACTTAAACACTCAAAACACGTAGATACTGCATTCCCAAAGCTACAGAGCCTGTTTGTACAAACATAGATATAAGTCTGGGTAATGATGGAGTAGCAGTCGACGTGCTATCGGATCTTTTAGCTTTTAGTGCGTCTCTAGTTTTAGAAAACATATAAACAAGACAGATATTGCGAAGACAGATTTTGGAGTTTTAAAGATTAAAACGCACACACACGCAAACGCACAAACACATACAGATCAAACAATAAATGTAATCACAATTCACATTAGGTTTAAAATATGGTTCTAGCAACAATAGATGTATGTGTAAAGGCATATAACCAGCTTGTCACCGGCACAAGTTAACATGATATCTATCTATCTATCTATCTATCTATCTATCTATCTATCTATCTATCTATCTATCTATCTATCTATCTATCTATCTATCTATCTATCTATCTATCTATCTATCTATCTATCTATCTATCTATCTATCTATCTATCTATCTATCTATCTATCTATCTATCTATCTATCTATCTATCTATCTATCTATCTATCTATCTATCTATCTATCTATCTATCTATCTATCTATCTATCTATCTATCTATCTATCTATCTATCTATCTATCTATCTATCTATCTATCTATCTATCTATCTATCTATCTATCTATCTATCTATCTATCTATCTATCTATCTATCTATCTATCTATCTATCTATCTATCTATCTATCTATCTATCTATCTATCTATCTAACTGTCTGTCTGTCTGTCTGTCTGTCTGTCTGTCTGTCTGTCTGTCTGTCTGTCTGTCTGTCTGTCTGTCTGTCTGTCTGTCTGTCTGTCTGTCTGTCTGTCTGTCTGTCTGCCTGCCTGCCTGCCTGCCTGCCTGCCTGCCTGCCTGCCTGCCTGCCTGCCTGCCTGCCTGCCTGCCTGCCTGCCTGCCTGCCTGCCTGCCTGCCTGTCTGTCTGTCTGTCTGTCTGTCTGTCTGTCTGTCTGTCTGTCTGTCTGTCTGTCTGTCTGTCTGTCTGTCTGTCTGTCTGTCTGTCTGTCTGTCTGTCTGTCTGTCTGTCTGTCTGTCTGTCTGTCTGTCTGTCTGTCTGTCTGTCTGTCTGTCTGTCTGTCTGTCTGTCTGTCTGTCTGTCTGTCTGTCTGTCTGTCTGTCTGTCTGTCTGTCTGCCTGTAAGAGATAAAATGGGAATGGCGAATAAATTTGCGGCCAGCACCCAACACAAATATATGTGTGTGTGTATGTGTGCATGTATGGTAATTTGAGTGATAAAAACAATAATGAAAGTAGTGATTGATGACATTACCATAATAATAAGTATGTGTGTAAGTTGTACCCCAGCAGGACATCACAAAAGCGATAAACACCCGGTGACGCAAAGTGCCAGCATACGAACTTTACTTATTTTAATTCCTTGTGCTTAATAACGTTACATTTTCTCATCGTATCTCAAACGTTATTTCAAGGAAATCAGTTCCATAGAGCGTTGTTGCTTGAACTCCTTTTACGAACAATATTGAGATATCATCAGGACTTTTTTTTTTTTTTTTACCATTCTTTTTAGTCCCTCTGTAATTGATAACTTGCACTGAATACGGGCAACTGAAAAAAAAAAATCTCCATATCATGACCCTCATATTAAAATGACATCTCCTGTTATGCTGGATTACGAAAAAAGTAAGCAGTTCCCGTCATTTATAACTTTACTAGGTTAATTATTTTGATTTCGGGACTCAAAAGTAACCACTGCATAAGAAAGAACACTTTAAATTGATTCATATCCGGTACTGATATAATTTATTATGTGTCTTAGCATAATGCACAGGCCGTCAAAAATAAACAGGTGAACAGTTCACAACGTTAAGCCTTCCATAAGATCAGATTTTGGTGTCCATTTGCTGTTCGCAAATCATGATAACATTGTTAGAATTCCTTCGTCCAGTAGTTGTCAGTAAATCATGATAACATTGTTAGAATTCCTTCGTCCAGTAGTTGTCAGCAAATCATGATAACATTGTTAGAATTTCTTCATCCAGTAGTTGTCAGCAAATGATGATAACATTGTTAGAATTCCTTCGTCCAGTAGTTGTCAGCAAATCATGGTAACGCTGTTAGAAATTTCGTCCTAGCGCATACAAAGTATTCAGTTTGTTTCACGATGACCACATTTGTTCAGGAAATGTCAATTTCGTTGTTTAATGAAGAACAATGGATAATCCATGACAGTGAAACGTTTCATGTGGCGAGGTTTCCAGAAGTCTAGAACATGGTAAGGATTTATGGATATCGTTTTACATAGTTTCTTGTAATATACTGGGTGTGGTATTCAGAGAGGTTTACAGTTATTTCAGTTTATTTTCATAACAAAAGCGATGAATAGTAGACCATCGAAAGTCTCACTATCAATAATCTTACCATGGTCTGACTCCGAAAACTGTAGACCATAAAACCATTAGCTGTAAAAAAAAAAGTAAAAAAAAAAAGTAAAGGACCCTTTTCCACGTCTTTAGGCGTATAGACCTATATTTTATAGACCAATCGGCACAAGATGGGTGAAGTGGTCAGCATCACTCCGGCCGCCTTTACTTCCCGGAACTGTACCGGGTACCCACTCAAGGCTGGGTAGACCTGGGAGCGAAAGTCATTTTTGAAAAAATGCCGGCTGCGCCAGGGAGCGAACCCACGACCTTCCCATCCGCGGCGAGCGTGTTAGCTGTAGTGGAATGCAAATACATGTTGGCTATATCAACCAGGTGTCTTCTCCGTCCTCTTATGGCATGGGCAGACTTGTCTGTTCACTTCCCTCTGTCTTGTGCCCTTGCAATCATTACGGACACAGACTTAACTCTATGTCGTGATCCAAACTATCCGGCATCTTCTCCCTTGGTCTTTTGCCGTCTTTCTTCACTCCAACTTTCGCTTCGTCATCACATTTGCTAGTATCTCCCGTCTTGTGATGTGACCAAAGAACTTAGATGTTATGTGGAAAAATAATTAGACCCATACATGGTATGCCAGGAATATCAGTTGGTGGGCATATTGTTAACAACGCGATATGCTGACGATATAGTTTTGATCGCTGAAAATTAAACACAATCGCAAGAAATGATGGATATAATTGTAACGGAAAGTGAAAACAAGGGTCTTAGTGTAAACAGCAGAAAAACAGAAGTGATGGAAATTACAAATTAAATTTACCCTTAAAAATGCAACATCAAGTAAGTGGGAAAAACCTCAAGCAAGTTGATGTTTAGTACTTAGATGCCCTGTTAAATCAGATAGCATATTTATTAGGAAAGTTAAATGTCGAAAAGCTTAAGCAGAGACAGGAGTTTACAAAATAAAGAATATTTTATAACAATCTTCCTGTGTCAGTTAGGACGAAAAAGATAATTCTTACATGCTCTTGAACTCATATATTGATATTTGGAAGCGAATCATGGACAGCTGGTAGATAAGTGAAAACGTACTTGGAAGCTATAGAAATGTAGTTTCATAGACGAATGATGAGAATACCCTGGACAGATAAAAAGAGTAATGAAGACGTCTTGAAAGAAACTGACTCACAAAGAGAACTAATCGCCACATAGGAAAGAATCTACACTCGTTGGTCATGTAATGAGAAGGAGAAAACTGAAGTACATCGTGACAGTAGGAAAGTTGGAGGGAAGGAGAGGCAGAGGGAGACCCAAAGAACAGATTCTGGTCAGTTTGACATTATAGTATGGATGATCATCTGTATCATAATGGATTGAAAGTACACGAGAGAATGTTGTGGATAGACATGACTAGCAACGTTCTAATGCACCTGTGCAAGTCTTTATTCTTTTTTCACCGTTGCGGTTTCTAGTCATAGTATATTTTGTGTTAATATACTTCTTGTAACTTTAGAGCAGCGTTAACTTTGATGAAGCATAATTTTTCATTTTATCTTTTAAAAAAAACTGTTTGCCAATCTTTTGTTCTTATTATTCTTGAATATTCTAGTTGGGGGGAGGAAAGGGAGGGGGGGGGGGGGGGGGAGAGAGGTATTATTACTACACATATATCTTTTTAATAAAGTCATGTAACTTGAAACCAAAGCTACCAACCATCTGCCCATAAATGTACCTGTTCAACACATCACATAATCA